ACCAGAATGATTCCTATGTCTTCATCTAAGTATTTTGTGAAAAATAGGAACAAAAAATTTGGGTACAATTATTCAGCTAACTTTGAGTTTACCTAATTATAATTACAGCAAGCTATTATTTTAGGTCCTCATCCACAAAATATATTAGAGTGGATAAAATGCTTTGCTGAAATTGATTTATATCATGCCTATAAAATTCCCATTTTAACCCAATGATCAAATTAAAAAAAGAAGTATGTATGATTTATCTTTAGTTTAGTTAGTCAGGATCCTAGGGACCACCAAACTCTTTTCTAAATGATCATAAAATATATTTGTGTGCTCTAGAATTTTGCTTTTCTGTTCTAAAAATTCCAGTATCTACCTTTTAACCCTTTTTTTTTAAAAGCAACTAATCTGTCATTTTTTTCATTTTATACGGTTTTGCTGAGCTTGACAACAGTGGGTCTTAAGTTACCTGTAAACAGCTGTGGATGTAATTTGTTTGTGCCTGGAAACATGAACCTATTAGAAACAGATAGGTGTTCTCTTACTGTCTCCTTAGCTATCTTGAGTTTCAGTTCTCTTTCTGTGTTGTTTCACCTTTATCAAGTTAAAGTCCACCATCCTTACTGAAGAGGAAAGGAAAACACAAGTTGAGTCAAGTCTGTCTTTAGTTTTTACATTATTCTCTTAGGTAAATTGCTAATTTTGCATTTATTAAAAAAATCTATGTAGGCTTATTTTTCCCTGCCCTCTAATATATTATCTACTCCATTAAAACCAATCTTCCCATCTTTTCCTCTAGAAGTAACCAAGGTAACTTCAGCCATCAATGATTTCTCTATAGCACTTTATGGTTTGCACTACACAGTTTAACAGTGGAACAAATATTATCTTCCATGGTTTGATGCTCTTTCATATTTTCATTTTGTCTCTCCAAATATTTTTTTAATTTCTTTACTTGTTTTTGTTCACCTGCAGTCAAGGTTCTTGCTTGAACAAGAACACTAGGAATTCAATAAATACTTGTTAATTGGTTGAGTTCTTAAATATCTAATTTGGCTAGATATTAGTCTCCCTGACTGATTTTTCTGTTTGGAGAAACACAAGGGAAGAAAAAATACTTGAATTTTTTTTAAGTAATAAAAACAGTAGCATTAATGGTAAGAGTAACAGTAATGATAAAAACATAATAAACCAAAACTATCTTCTGAAGTCATTCCCTTAATGCACCATCTCTCCAGCAACCCTCCGCTAATTATTATTTATTTTCCAAAGTTACTTACTAACAATTTCAGCCACACTGAGATAGTAGTTAAAATTCTATTCTTGTTAAAGATGCCAGATTCCTTTTCCATTTTGCTAATCAAGGCTGCATTTCTTTGTTTTGCTGTATTCTAGACAAAGGTACCAATTTGAAGTCCTTTGGAATTATTCCTAATTTAAACCCTGACTATAGAAACCTCATCACTTCTCTTGGCATCTTTTTTCACTTTAGAAATGCTGAGTGTTTATAAACAAATAATAAATGTTTAATCATAATAGATTAAAAATGATAGATGTAATTTTCAATATAGTCCTAATCATACAAAATAATATACTAACAATATCAGAAACAATTGCTTGAACAGTTAAGCAAATTTGCTCTTAATTTTGCCTAAAATACATAGAAAATCCATTAAAAAAGGCTTTGGTTTCTAGCAAGTAAAAAAGTAACACAAATAGAATACAGTGCTCACCAGTGGGAGGTTATATTGTAGGCTGGTGTTTAGGGTAGCAAAACTTATTTTCTTTCTGTACATTAATACTGTCAAAATTCCGGTTTACTGTTAATTTTGTACAGCTAGGCAACCTGTTAAATCTCAATCTATGACTTCTGTGATTTAGGTATTCCTATATGATTTGTCTAAAAAAGTCTGTTAATGAGATGTGGGGATCTGGGTTGCCTCCATGACAACCAAGCAGCATGCTTTGTTTGCTATTCCCTAGTTACGAAAAGGAACATCTTCCCTGCAGCTGCTTATTTAGTACTGGGACCTGGTTAACTATGGAAATCTAGATGGAGACTATGTGGCTAAATTGTTTACCAGATACAAGCATTCCGATAAACAGGCAGTAAAATATGTCATGGTCAATACCTTTAATTTGTAGCAGTTTTTTTTATTAAAAGACCATCTTTAGTATTCTTTAGGTTATATTATCCCCGTAAGCATATTACCATAATAACTTTGTCATCCATCCCACAAGAAGAATTTGTTATCATCCTTTTCAATTATTAGCAATATTTTGTTGCGTGAGTGGTGACATTTTGTGGAGACGATAATGACAACAGTATTTGGTAGTCTCTCTCATGCATTTCATCATCAACAGCATTAGCAACATTTACTGCACACTATGCTGTGTAAGACCTGGGAGTTTAAATCGTTACGAAAAAACCATCTTCTCTTCAGACTACTTATAACTGAGGTGACAGAACTAAGTAAAGTGGTATGTACAGATGGTGGCATGTGCCCGGTTCAGAGGAGAGTGAGATCATTTTGTCTAGGATGATTAGGCTTTTAGAGAAGACACAGATTTTGGTCATAGCATCTTTAAGTAAGGGTACAAGCACAAGCAGACAGAATGAATGGATGAGAACATAACAAGGACAGGAAACCGAGGAAACAAGTGTCTGAGGTAGAGGCAGAAATGATGAGTAGACTCCTGAGGTTAAAAGAAAGCCTTCTTTAAGACTACCAGTGAGAAGTGTGACTGGAGAGTTAGGGTGAACACATACTTTAGTAACATTTTTTTACCGAGTTTATCTCTAACCTACATCTATTTAACCGGTACTTGTTGCCATCGAGTCAGTTCCAACTCATAGCAACCCTATAGGCAATGGCATCACTAGGGTTGGTGTCACCCAGTGCAGTAACTCCTGGTGTCACCCCCCCCCACGCCATCCCACGCCATGGACCTCCTCCAGTACCAGACCACACAGAATCCTTAGTAATGTTTATTATCAATTTTAACTATTTAAAGGCTTTTTAAAAATTCTGTCGGTCCTGTGTATATCTTTTTTTTTTTTTTTTTTACTTACCTTTGTTCTTTCTGCTGCTCAAATTTAACCCAGATCTTCGCAACATTTATTCTGCTTGGAGGTATACTGATACATGTAAGCTGGGCTTAAGAAAAATTTGTTGTTGTTGTAACTAACTACAGGGATATTTTAATAAAAATAATAAATTTCTGCTGAAACACTCCACAAAAATTTTACAGTCATTTTGGTGTCACCCCTTCTGACAGTGTCACCCGGTGTGATCCACACCCCGCCTCTACCCCCCCAGCGATGCCACTGCCTATAAGACAGGGTAGAAGTGCTCCATAGGGTTTCCACGGGTGTAATCTTTACAGAAGCAGGGTGCTACATTTCTCCCACGGAGCTGCTGGTGGGCTCAAACTGCCAACTTTTGGGTTAGCAGCCGAGCTCTGAACCTCTGCGCCACCAGGGCTCTTTTACATTTATTTACTTGCCCACAAATCCTAGAACATTAAGAAGGCATTCTTCTGAATTATTTACTGAGATGTTTGATATTGCAAAAAGAGACAAAATATATCATGAAGAGTTACTACTGCCTTTTTTAGTTTTCCGGTATTATCAACATTCTATTTCCCTCTCCCTCCACTGCTACTGCCAGATCTTTCAATCATCATGAATTGTGCTAGACCTTTTTGCATTTCCTAGTTAATCCATATTCGATAGGATAAATGAAAGTTGATTCTTTGATTTTTTAATTTTGATAGAATTTAGGAAGCAGAATAAATGTTGGGAAGATTTGGGTTAAATTTGAGAAGCAGAAAGAACAAAGTAAAAAAAATACAGATATACATAGGACTGTCAAAATTTTTAAAAAGTCTTTAAATTCTCAAAAGAACTATGCGAAGAGATGTGGCTGAACAGAAAATGTGTAATGCGAGTGTGTAAAGCTTTGCCATAATAATTTTTTTTTTTTTTACCACCATTTAGGTCATTTTGGATAATAAAACTCAAAACACCAGATTGCCTTTTTAGCGAAAGAGTGCAGTATACAATCTCCCACAGATGCCGTATATCTCATGCCATTTGAAAAATTCAGGATCTGCCACATTCCCAGACTTTCATGCGGACACTCCAGAAACGAAAAGTATCTCGGTTTCCAGATGGCCTACGTCGGTGTCTGATGAGGAAACGAAAAACCTGGGGCGGGGGCGGGGGGCAGCTGTTATGAAATGAGGGCACTGCACCTCAGACGCTGCAGCGGGAGGGAGAAGGGGTTGCGAAGGCACTCGAAAACGTAGTCCTCGGAAAGGACCCTTCAAACGCTGGGAAACAGTTAAGAAAACATTCTTGAAACGTCGAGACTGGACAGGGGAGGAACATAAGGAGAGGGTCGCGGCCCAGTTACACGCTAGGAGGCGGCAGGGCGAGGACTCAAAGCCGAGCCCCCGACTGCAAACCAGTTGTTTTTGCCCGTGTCCCAAGGGAGAGCGTAATGAGGTCTCCGCGGAGTCCGCAAAGACGGCCCTAGGGCAGAGCCATGAGATCCGACTCCCAGCGCTCCCCGGCTTTGTAGGCGCCCGGGTACTCGGGCCGCGGCGCGCCCTCGTGGGCCCCGCCCCTCGGAGCCCCCGCCCCAGGTGTACTTCCTTCTTGGGCCAGCTGCCCCGCATGCCTGCGCTTGGACGCGCGCGTGGTCGAGCGGCAGGAGCGCGCACGTCCCTGGGGCTCCACCCCCTCGGTGCCCCGCCCCCAGGTGCGCTTCTTTCACGGGCACTCTGCCCGCCTTCCCTGCGTGTGGACGCGCGAAGTTGAGCGACGGGAGCGCGCGCGTCCGCTGAACTCCCCCGCCCCCCACCCCAATGCACCCCCACCGCCTCCGGCTCGGAGTCCTACGCCCTCGGAGCCCCACCCCTCCGTGCTTGTCAGGACCCGGAGCGCTGCTTCCGGCGCCGCACGCACGGTTCCTAGGCGTGCTGCCCTGCCTGCGCCGGAGCAACAGCATCAAGTGACGGGAGGGCGCGCGCGCGCGGCCTCGCCCTTAAACACTGCCGATTTCTTGTCAGACCTGTCTCCACAGACAGCGGTCTCCACAGACCGATTGCATCCTAGCCTGACGGGGCCGTTGCCGCGGCCTTGAGGTGAGCAGGGCGCCAAGGGCTGCGACATTTGAAGCTCGCTTGAGGGAGCCTTACCTAGAGGAGTGAGAGGCCGAGGAGGGGCGGCCAGAGGCGTCCTTGAGGGGGATAGCTAGGAAGGGGTGCGGGAGGGCGATGAGGGCTTGGGGGTCTTAGGAGCAGGTGTGGGGTAAGGGAAACCAGAAACCCCTCCGGACGTCAGAGAAAGCGCGGTCTATCCTAGTGCCCTGTCGGGATGCTCCTGATCTTCTTAGGATGTTGGTTTGTGGATTGCTTTAGGGCGGGGGCACTGGGGGGCCGGCGGGGACAAGATCTGGCCGGGGGACGACGCGAGCCTGCCGTTGGCTCGTTTCCATTATCAGCACACCGTTAGAGAGATTTTTTTTTTTTTGGTTGAAGTAAATTTCCCTCAGAACAACTGGATCATTAGCACTCATTCGTTTGGGGATTTCGCGCTGATCATTATCGTGTGTGTCAAAAGGAGTTTGGGTGAGAGAAAAATGTGCGAGTCTCATGACACGATTTTTGGGGGAAATACCTTGATGTCTAAAACATAAAGAAAAGCTCTAGGCATAAAAATATTTCAGCATATATGAAAGCTAGGTAGCCTGGAAACGGTAATCTCAATTTGAGGGAACAGCAGCAGCAGGAGAGTTTTCCTGTTTCTTTAGGCTTCGGTGTACAATTTAAAATAAATACGTGCGTATTGTGGGGGAGTGGAATAATACCGTTTACTTTCTCTGGAGAACGTTCTGAAGGAACATAAGGGCAGAAAAGAAGTATTTGTTGGACACCCAACTGTGCGGCAGGTTTGGTATTAATTCATGTAATCCTGACGGTAACCGTATGAGACTGGAGGTGTTAGTCTAGTTGGGCAGATGTGGAAAATAGGTCTCAAAGAGGTTAAGTAAGTAATTAAACAACTAGCAAAAAAAGTGGCGCTGAGAGTATAGCCCAGTGATGCTGAACTCCAAAGTCTGGTGCTTTATTCACTATGTTTTGTGGATGCCAATAAAGCAATAGTATGTATTTGTAGGAAAGACTCCATATAAAAGAACATTAGAGAAGTTAGGGCTTTGGGGGTATTTGGGTTAAAATCATACTGTTGTTAGTTGCCATTGAGTCATTTCTAACTTGTGGCAACCCATGTGTGCGGAGTAACAGTACTCCATAGGGTTTTCATGGCTGTGACCTTTTGGCAGCAGATCACCAGGTCTGTCTTCTGAGTTGCCTCTAGGTGGGTTCAAGCTGCCAACCTTTCGGCTAGTAGTTGGGCACTCAACTATTTGTGCCACCCAGGGACTCTTAAAATCACACTAATAAGGCATTAATCTTTGGATATATGCTATTTAAGTGTATTTTCCTGAGAGAGTCCTGAAGATTACAAGATGAGTCCTGCCAGCAAAGGACACTGGTACAGAACCAGAGTACCCTTACTGAGCTAGTAACCTCGGCCAAGAGAGAAGCACACCAAGCTCCTGACTTCGTGATAACATCAATTGAAATCCATTAAGTAGTACAAAAACAGCCCCATCAGTCGTAGATTAGACATGTTTTTCCTTGGTTCTCCTGCTCATATACTTGTATGTAGGCACATTGTTCTCCCTGTACGTTAAAACCAAAATCAAACCCATTGCCGTCAAGTCGATTCCAAGTAGAACTACCCCATAGGGTTTCCAAGGCTGTAAATCTTTACGAAGCAGACTGCCACATCTTTCTTCCATGGAGTGGCTGGTGGGTTGGAACTGCGGAGCTTTTGGTTAGCAGCCAAGTGCTTTACTGTGCCACCAGGGCTCCTTCCCTATATGTTAGATGGTATATAAACCCAAACCCCTCACTATTGTACCTTGACTTCTACCCAGGTGACTTGGTGAGTCACTGTGCGTGGCAGAAATCTTGGCACCAAACTCTGGCTGTAAGTTCCCTAGTAAACGTTAGATCTGATCAGCCTGGCTTTTTCCACCTCTTTTTTTGGAATCCAACCTGTGCCCCTCGCAGCCACTCCTGGCACTGGTACGGTAGGGTGCGACTTCCCTTTTAGCAAGGTATGGGGGAATCTTACATTTAGGATGAAAGCCAATTTATTAATACATCACATGTGCATTGAATGTCTTTGTATGCCAAAGTGGATACCATATTCTGAGAGTTGTTAGCTGGCATGGAATTGGCCCCTGACTCATGGTGACCCCCAAGCAAAATGGAACTAAGCACTGCCCATCATGCACCATCCCCACAATTGTCTGTAGATCAGAACATTGTGATCGATAGGGTTTTCATTGGCTGATTTTCAGAAGCAGATTGCCAGGCCTTTCTCTCTAGTCTGGAAGCTCTGCTGAAACCTATTCAGCATCATAGCAACATGTAAGCCTCCACTGACAGAAGAGTGATGGCTGTGTGTGAAGTGGATTGGCTGGGAATTGAACCCTGTCTCTTGCATGCAAGGGCAGGCCACTGAACCACCACTGTCGTCTATGTTGAGAGTATCAAGATGAATACAATTTGTAGTCTTTGCCTTTGAGTTTAATTGTTGTATAAAAGGATTTTGTAGTATTCTACTAAATAGTAATATTTGCTAGCATGTGAATTAATTGGATTAAAAATAGTTTTAAGTACAAGCTTTTAGGAACCTGTTGTATATAGGGAAAGTTATTGGATAACTTGCTATAGGGGAAAGAAATACAGTCAGTGAAATTTAGGTTAAATCAGATTGACAATTAAAAAAAAATTTACATGTACAGTTGTGGAACCAGTATTTGTTTTATATTTACAACTCCTTCAGTAAATTTTAAAACACTAGAGAAGAAGAGCATTTATAATTTATTCCTGTTAAATTTAGGGGCCCTAGAGGCACAGTGGTTAAAGAGCTTGGTGGCTAACCGAAAAGTTGGCAGTTTGAACCCACTGGCCGCTCCGTGAGAGAGAGATATGGCAGTCTGCTCTCGTAAAGATTTATAGCCTCAGTAACCTGTGGAGCAGTTCTGCTCTGTCCTATAGGGTTCCTGTGAGAATTGACTTTATGGCAGTGGGTTTTGTTTTGTTTTGTTAAATTAAAGCCTTCATATAGTGCTTCTGTTTTATTAGTTGGGAAACCAATGACATAGCTCGGCAGGAATCTCTTTTAAGTCATCTGCAAGGTACGTTGTTAACCTCTCCTTCAAAAAAAAAAAAAAATTCTTAAATTAAAATTGTAGTTAATACCAGATTCTGTTTAAGCTTTTGTGGTTCAGAGTTCTAATGTAAATGCTGATGAAAACCGTCTTTAATTTAGGCTGAAATGATAAGTTGTTGAAAATTACTGTGTGGTCTTTGTAAAATGTATAACATTACCTTAATGACAGAGGTAGGTAGGTGGATAGAAGGGATAGTGGGAGATTTTGAAAATTTTCTTCTTATTGCTTCAGTTTTCTCAATGAGAGTGACCAAGCAAGTAGAAGCTTTGAAGATTGGGAGAGTGAATGGACTAGAGAAATAAATGAGTGCCAGGTAATTAAACAATTACTCTTCAACGTGAAAAGTGCAGTAGAGGAAATATAATCGTTGGCGTCGAGTCAATTCTGATTCATAGTGACTCTAAAGGACAGAGTACAACGGCCCCATAGCATTTCCAAGAAGCACCTGATAGACTTGAACTGCTGACCTTTTGGTTAGCAGCCATAGCTCTTAACCACTAGCCACCAGCAAATATAGGGTGCTATATATGGAGCCCTGGTGACGTAGTGGTTAAGAGCTCAGCTGCTAACAAAAAGGTCAGCAGTTCAATTCCACCAGCCGCTCCTTGGAAATCCTACAGGGCAGTCCTTCTCTGCCCTGTAGGGTTGCTATGAGTTGGAATCAACTTGAAGGCAGTGGGTTTGATGGACTATGTAGATGTGGAGCCCTGCTGGCGCAATGATTAAGAACTCAGCTGCTAACCATAAGATCGGCAGTTCAAATCCACCAGCAGCTCCTTAGAAACCCTATGGGGCAGTTCTGCCCTGTCGTATAGGGTCACTATGAGTCAGAATTGACCTGATGGCAATGTTTTTTGTTTTTGTTTTTTGTATATATGGATGCAGGAGCCCTGGTGGTGCAGTGGTTAAAGCGCTTGGCTGCTAATCAAAAGGTCAGCAGTTCGAACTCACCAGCCACTCCATAGAAGAAAGATATGACAGTCAGCTTCTGTAATAATTACAGCCTTGGAAACCCTATGGGGCAGTTCTACTCTGTCCTGTACAGTCACAATGTGTCAGAATCGACTCAGCGGCAGTGGGTTTGGTCTTTCGGGTTTAACCTAGTTTTAAGGAGTCTGGTAGCACAGTGGTTAAAGTACTCGGCTGCTAACTGAAGGGTCGGTGGTTGGAACCCACCAGCCACTCTGTGGGAGGAAAGATGTGACAGTCAGCTTCCATAAAGATTACAGCCTTGGAAACCCTGTGGGGCTTTTCTACTCTGTCCTATAGGGTCACTACAAGTTGGAATCGACTCGATAGCAACGGGTTTGATTTTTTTTTTTTTCGTTTAACCTAGTTTTGCACACACGTATATCACAATACACTTTCACTGCCTGTCGTTACAGTCTCATCTAGAGCTCACACCAGCACCCTTTGCCCCATTCACTTTGCCTTGTACCTCCGTTATATTCAGATGTCCCTGTTCTTTACACAAGTCAAGCCCTCTTAGGAGTCTAGCTTTTCCATTCTTTTCTCTCTCCCTAGATCTCCCATTTCACTCTTTCCCAAACCCTCCCCCCCGCCACTGCAGTTATCACATTATATTAAATTATATCTATCTGCAAAGTCAGTAACACTGTCTAACTTACTTTTTCATAATGCTTGATGCAGAATTCTCTCAGTAAATGTTTGATTAAATGACTATGTTACTTGTCCAACTTCCCCTCCTCCTTCCACTTTTAATCTATGACAGAAGTCAGAAAACTCTTACTGATTAGAGCCAGAGAGTAAATATTTTAGGCTTTGCAGGCCATATGGTATCTGTTTCGGTTACATAACTCTGCCCTTGTAGCA